AAATTACAGTTTGCATCTTTGAAAGTTATTTAGAATTTTTATAAATATAAATTTTCCATGTGCAATATTGCCCGAGAGACAAAATTGGTAAGTGAAAAGCTTATTATGTTAGTCAACAATTTTCTAAAATGCGTGAAAATATGGAAACTGATTTTGGTCCAAATTCTCGAATATCTTAGGGATCTTCGACATGTTTTTTTTTATACTATCGGATATGGCATGTTCTGTGCTTCATATGTTATATATAACTTAACAATTCTTGCTCCGATCATACGCAAAATAAAAAAGTTTCACACAAACTTTATTCGCAATTTTTTCACAGTAGCGTTTGGAGCTTCCCAAAAAATGTCAGCTTCACAAAAAAATAAATAGATTTATGGGATTGTCGCATGCAATATGGTATGGAATTGTATTTCCAAATTAATTATTAGAATATAGGTTTAATATACTCGATAAAAAATATATTTTTGTTTGATAGAAAATGTAAGTATATTTGTGTAATTATTGTAATTTTTAATATTATATTAAATATTTTTTGTGTAATCGGTTTGAAGGTCACAGAAAACCGACTTAGTTAACATACTTATTCGAGCGAATGTCGGCATGTTGCGCCATAAAACATCCAGAGCGGACTTCGATATCTTGAATCTACTGTGGCAGTGGCTCGTAAGCCACTGCCCGAAAGTTTTGTGTCGAAGCCAATAACTCAGTCGGCGCTATTCCCCACTCGGCGCTGACTTGGTACGAGTAGCAGCAGCAGCAGCACTTGCAACAATTAATCACATGTGGGCCTTGGTCCAGTCCTTAGTTGGCGACATATGTGGGAAATTTGGAGAGTCGGGCCGCCAACTCGCTCGCCGGCTAAGCGAAAACAGTTTGGATGAATAATGACAGCTGGCAAAAAGTCAAAGCCGAGTCAAAGGCGCAAAACGGCAACACGACAAACGGCTGTGAAAAATGAAAAATGAATGCAGGTGCCACAGTTCCATATGCGTGCCCGGTGAGTGGCATGGGGAGAACAAATCGATTGCCAGTTCCCAAAAAAAAAAAAAAGTTTTAATGAATTTTCAGAGGCGTGATAATCCGAAAGGAAGTCAGCTTCCATTATCAGCATGGATGTCGCCCCGCTCTGTGGCATGTCTCACATCAAACGCTATTCACGGCAGATCCGAGGCACGCCCGCGTAATTCAATAAAACTTTGCGACAAATGAAGCGCCCACCGCGAAGTTGCAGCTAACTCCAGGCGACATCGAAGGATGAGGCTGGAGCTGAGCTCGCCGAGCGAATTGTGGTTAGGGGGTATGGGGAGCAATGAAGCGATGGCTTGCAAATGAAAATGATTTCCTTCCATGTCATTATTATGTATTTTGCCGCGACGCGACTGTTTTCACTTTTGTCTGGTCTACGTCGCGCCATCGACATCGACTCGGAATCCTAGTCCGCCCGCCGCTTTCAATTGCAAGTGCTTGGCTCATCGGCAGTCCTGAGTCGCAGAGATAAAAGGGCAATGGCAGTTGCGTGATTCCTCTTAGCCGCCATCGAATTTGTTGGCGTTTGTCTGCGTTGTATGCTTTCCGTTTCCGCTTCCTTGGCTTTGCAGTTAGTTGCTTCTTGCCGAACCCAAACTCGAACCCACACTCGCAACCCTTGGCGAGTTTTTGAAAATTTTTCACATAAAAAATAACAAGAAAAGTTGTATGCTAATGTTGCTCCATTTGCCTCAGCTCGTGTTTTATGTATTGCAAAATAGAAAAGAAATTGAAAAACAATTTCTGCATTTGGCATTTCTTAGTTTAGGTAGGTGGGGGGAGCGGAGCGGAATTGAAAAGTTTCAAGGCGAGCGCCTTAAGAGAGTCCAATAAGCAGCTAAAGTCAAATAGTTCGACATTGATTATGTGCATTCTTAAAGTTGGCGCGCAACTCGAAAAGTTGCCAAGAGCAAGATGTGATTAGCTTGAGCCAGAGGCTAGCTCCTTGACGACGATAAAAAACTGAAAATCATCACTGAACCCTTTGCACGAATTAAATCTTTAAGGCAATTCCAAATGAGTTTCGTCAACTTTTTAATTAGTTTTGCAATCAGAAAAACATCAAACTTTTCTACAATTTAGAACAATCCTGACTACACCCCGACCCCGGCTCCGAAACAGAACAGGGCTGCGACCCGTTCGCCAGTTTAGCTGTGCCACAGGTAACCACCGATATCAGAAAACTTTGCTTAATAATTTCAAAGGTAAATATTTATTTTTGTGCTAATGCCTTGTGGTCATAATCAACAGCTTCAAAATGGCAACCAAAAAACTGAAACTGCGTCGCCCCCTCCACAAAGTAATCAATTTTGAGGCCATGCGACCGACCCATTTTGGCAAAAAGTTGCTGCAGTTGTTGCCATCCCCTTCGCTACCAATCCCCACCCCCCCAATAACCAGCCGGCCGCCACTGGTCGAGCTCATCCGTTGAAAGTTCAAACATCACCTGGGGTAGCCGCAGGGCTGGCAATGGCTCCATGGGGGAACTGTGGACCGATTCCAGACTGACGACTACCTGTCGTAATTTTGTTTTTGGCTCTTGTTGTTGTTGTTGTTGTTGTTGTTCTAGTTGTTGTTGCTGCTGGCTTTTGGAGTGTGGTGGGCGTGGTTAGGGGCAAGAGGGGCGGTCGACGCTGTCAAAGTTTTTGCGCGCACCAGCTACTGAAAAATTGAAATGCTGCCTCACGTGCTATGAAATTTTTTATATTTGTTGATTTTTGGCTTAGAGTGTTGACCAACAACAAAGTTCCCAGTTGCTTTTTGTTTTTCAATTTTGCCCTTTTTTTTCTCTCTCTGCATTTTCCATTCGTTTTCCCCATGTGTGTGTTTGTTGTTGGAGCTCAAGTTTCAATGAGTTCAGCCCCCCTTTCGGCTCGTTTTCTGTTTTAGTTGTGTGACTTTTATGGCAATATTCCAGCCGAAAAAAATTCTGTATCGACTCGCGTTGTTTTTAATAACTTAATATCTTTTGTCAATTTGCTGGAGCGCTTTAATTTGATTGAAACGAAACTGTTCAAAGTTTGCCTTTCGGCTTTCTGATTCACTTCTCTTTATAATCGCACCAGCAAACGGAAAGCTCTTTAACTCTGTGAATAGCGCATCTATATAATTGGTCCTTTGATTTCCGTTTCACCACAGGATGTATGTATAAAGATAAAAAAATGTTTCTATAGCAGTTGGCAAACATTAACTTTACCAGTAGCGGGAAATGGTTTTAGTCATGAAATGGAAGATTTATAAAAAATCTACAAATTTAAAACCAACTAATCAAAAAGAAAATAAATAATTATTATGAAAAAAGTATAGTTACAGATACACCTAATAAAAGTTGATACAAAAGAAAAGTTGATCATCTAACATCGCCTAAATAAAAGTAAATAGTTTAAGCATATATTGTTATAAGCTTGTAATCTTGAATCTTAGTGTTATGTGTTGTCGTTATGCAGAGGCTTTACTGTAACAGCTTTTGTGTTAGCTTTTGATTTTGATAGTGGCTTTGGTTAAATGCCTCGCATCTTAGCTGGGGCACGTGCCTCAGAACTGCGTCTCGGAGCGTTTTTTAAAGACGTTGCCATCGTGAAGTAGAGCCAAAAAATGAAATAGAAAGCAGCACGCAGCAGGCAGGAAGGAGGAAGGACACGAAACTAGTCTCTGGACTAGCTGACGCTGTGACAGGCATATTAAAAAGGACACGGGCAACATCGTGCCGCGCCATGACGTGCCAAAAACTAAGTAGTGTCAGTGCGGCCATCAAAGGGCATACCATGAAATGGCGTCTACCTCATAAGCTCTGCACGCGCTCGACAGGCTCTCCACGTACAGGTGTGGGCAGGCACCTCCTGCTATTGCGCTCATTTCCGCTTCGGCCTCTGCTCCCGCTTCCACTCCTCAAATAGGCAGTTGGCATTACATGCCTTTTGTGTAGCCAGCACGCTTGGGCTGGCAAAGGGATTGGCTCGTTCTGTGTGTGTGCGTGTGTGCGGGCTGCAGATGGTTAACCCAGCCCACTTGGTTGTGGCAGCGTCGCCTCCGCACTTTAAGCCCAAACAACGCATTGCTCTTAGCACAAGTTGTTTTAGGGTAAGTGATGGGCGTGGCTGGGGCTCAATCGTTAGCGATATACTTACACAAGAATATTTTACTTAACTGTCGTTCCATTTCCCATTTTCCATTTCCCCCTTCAGACGGAGGCAATTCGCGAATGCATTTCTTTGGTTTTGAATTTCATGCACGGACGTTTATTGAAATCGTTTTCTTTCGTTATTCTTAAAATAAAACTCATAAAGGAGAACATAAAACTAATGCGAAATGCTTAAGTATATTACAAAACTTTCAAGTAACAATCAAAATTGTAGGCTCGACTCGAAAGTCCCTGGGATCTTGGATGCTGGTGAACTAAATAGGGAAGTTCTGTAGTGCACCGTTGGATTTTGACATGAAGTCATTAACATTAATTAAATACATTAGATTCGAGTTTTCTAGCACTACGCTCTTACACATATACATATACATACACATATAAATACATTTACATAGATATTCTATATATTCGATAATATATATTTTGCTGTTTCAAAACGTCAAATTTCTGCCCGAGCTCCGCCAAAGTATCCCGCTAAACCTGGCCAACGCTCGTATACGCCTAGCCTAGGGTTGTGTAACTTATTATCGGTCTTGTCTTTAGCTATGTATCTATATATAATGTTATGTTATGCAAATGATTTAGCTTATGTGGTGACTCTCAGGGAATCCTTAACTGGGTTTTCTTTCGTGAATGTGTCTCTCTAAAATGTATTCTGGTGTTTACGTTCAACTACTATGTTTCTTGCATTTAAATGTCACTTGTTTTTTCGATTTTCGTAGCATCCTATCCTAATCCTAATTACCTAACTGCTTAATATGGAGCAGTGCACAACTTTGCGACTTTTCTGAACCGTGGTATGTTGCCTCCTATCGATCCAGCGACTACTACAATTAGTAAGTAACTATTTATTGTGGGGGACAACAATGGGCCCTCACTCGTATCCATATCTCCCACATTATCGCTTCTTAGACGCCCTTTAGGCGCTTTAATTTAAATATGTCTTTGGAAACAAAGTTGCGGACGTCGTTTGCTGCGAAATCTTACGACGTCGCCTTTTGTTATATTTACAGGTCTTGGTGTGCTTCATTACCGCAGGTTAAACATATCTGGTGATCTGTGTATGGAACTCCGATAGGCAGATCTGAAGCTGACTGAACGAGGGTCGCTCGGCGGGCATGGAGGCCCAGCAGTAGGCCATAATAGTGAAACTGCAAGTACCAGAGCAAAGGAAGGCAACCATTCAATTTTCTGTGTGGGATGAGAGCCTTTTAGCTAGTTGATACTCACAGTTCGTCGGGGCAGTTGAAGGGCTGTGCCAGTCTATAGCCGTCCTTTAGATAATGCTCCATTTCATACGGATCGATCTCGGCGTAGGGAAGCTTGCCCAATGTGCACATCTCCCACATGAGCACCCCAAAGGACCAAACATCGCTTCCCTCGTTGTAGTGCGACTTCTGCAGTGCCTCGAGCGACAGCCACTTGATGGGTCGATACTCCCCATCTCCCAAGCAGTTGTAGTCACCGGAGAAGAGGTCGCGGCTGAGGGCGCTGTCGGTTAACTTCACGCGCAGCTGATCATCAATGCTGAAGGAAACGAAGAGCAGAGGTTCGCAAGTGGTCGATTAGACGAATTACAAATCAAAGATAACGAACCAGAGAATAGGTTGGATAATGTTTGACGGTCTCCGCCCTACTTACACACAGTTCCTGGCCGCAATATCCTTATGAATGACTCCATGGTTGTGCAAATGCTCCATGGCCATGGCCAGCTGGGAGGCCATTAGCACCGTTTGAATGGTGGTAACGCTTCTGGCATACGACGGGTCCTGCAGGAAGGTCTTTAAATTGCGAACACTGCCGGTGGCGGCATAGAGCACGAATGGTGTGGCAAAGTCCTCAATAGAAATTCCGAGCACAGCTAGGACATTGGGGTGTGTTGCCTCATATAGCATCATGGATTCTTGAAGCAGAAGATTCACTTGTAGCTGGCTTGCATGCTGCGCCACAGTCTTGACCAGAACCTCCTGGCAGTCGTTATAAGTGCCGCGATAGATGCGCCCAAAGTTTCCCTCTTGGACGAGGCAGGAGAGGCGCACGCGACATTTTTGGACTGTCAGCTCCTGGAGACGGCGGTTGAACTCCTCAGGCTCATGCTCATATTCGCGAAAGGGCCGCGTCAGCGTCGCATATGTGGGTGTGATGGTCGAGGGGCAGACATAGATCGAATTGTGTGCCGTAGAGGAAATGGTGGGCAGGCGCTGGAAGCTGGAGGTCTTAATCAGATGCACGCCGTTCGAGGGATGTCGCTTCGAGGGCCCCTTTGCGCAGTAGGCTATCAATATGAGTGTCGAGACGAGCACCAGTGCCAAAATGCCGCCCACTATCAAAGTGATCAGTCCGCTGGTGGGAGGCACGAGAGTTTCCCGCAAGAGTGGATCGTACTCATTGTTCGAGCCTGCCCCGCCAGCACCTCGTCCCACAACCACGGTTGGCTCAGTCACCACCACACGGTGTCTCTCGGTCGCCTTTCCATGCTCCACATTGGAGGGCACATGACCGTCGGATATGACGTGCTCTGCGGTGTCTTCGTTGTGTTCCGTGTAGTGAATATCGTCGTGACCAGTCAGGTCCGGATGCAGTGGTTCCTCGTCATCGTATTCCTCCCGTGCGTCGTTTGGCTCGTCCTTCAAGCAAATTTTCTTACGTTTAAAGATGAGATTCGTGTTGTTGTTGGTCGCCCGGTCCAGTATAACCTCTACGCTGATGGTAACGGTCACCTCCGCTGCCCGCGTGCCCGAGCACTTGAGGCTGACGCCCCATGTCTGTGGCTCCTGGGGCACATCGCCAATGCGCGAGATGTTCAGCATCGGCCGTGGCAGAACACCCACATCCGAGGTGGCCACATTGATGCTATAGGGCAATGGATGCTCCACGAGCGACTGCCAGGTAAACGTAACATCGCTTATGTTCGCCGGCACCGGCACCGCAAAGTTCAGCGCGTAGTCATTGATGGCGCCCTCCCGCACATAGTAGAGCTCCGCGGAAACGCCTGCAATGAAACGAAAGCAGAAAGACTTTAGATGCATGTCCGTAACGGCGACTAACATGGCGTCCATCCCGCCGCTCAGGAAATTAATGATACGCCTGGTGACCCAATCGAAGCAGCCGAGCAACTTTTGGCCAGTCACTTGAGTCGGCTGCATAATCAATCACCAGGGATAACAGTTTTCTTTACTTTGTCAAATTGATTTTCTTCGAGCAATGGCCATGGCCAAGCAGCCGACTGTTTCTGCCACCAGACTCTGCATTATCTGTCCACTTAGACATTTCGGTGACATATTGAAGGAGTTAAATAGCCGAGCCCCAGCAACAGCTTCCAATGCCAGACAATTTCTTATTGCATCCACCCCAAATCAATCAAAATCGACAAACAAGTTGGGCAACAAAGAAGAGTTTTACCTTAAAGTACACTTTTAGGAATTGATATTCAACTTTTGAATCGCCACATCACCAATACTTGACTGAAGTCTTACTCGAGTAGCGTTTTGTGCACAGATAAATCTCAGAGACCTGCTTATAAGCCGAGCTGATTATTCAATTAATATGTGTGAGACTAACCCAATCTGAGTGTTATTCCTAACCAAAACCCGGCATATCGATATGTACTTAGTTTCTGTAGGGCATAATATTATATGTAATATTTATATATTCCTTTACATTTGTATTTCTTTTACCCTCCATTTAAACTTGAATGCAATCTTTAAAATCTATTATGCAAAGTTGGGTGCTTTTGTAGATAGCTGCCAGCTGAACAGCACCTATTCAACCCATATGCATGTTAGCTAATCCAAAATAAACTACTTGTTAAGCTTTCCTACGAATATCTACCCTGAAAAACACCTGGCTATCTTTTTACCTACATATCAGATAGGTGTATCGGATAGTTATGACAGGTCTGTGGATCGCTGCTCGCTGGCCCGTCGCCTTGCAATGCATTTAATTAAATTAAATTTAGAAATATATACGAGTCGCTCTCGTGGGGATCGGCCTACAGCTGGCGCCTTGCTCGATACCTGCTCCGGCTACACTTGCCAGTTGCCACTTGCCCCTTGCCACTTGCCACTTGCCGCTCTGGCGTGGGCTCAATAAATCAATCAAAATTATAAAATGCGACTTGAACAAAACACAAAGCGGACCCTTACTTGGCTCACGGACACGCGACGCTGTGCGAAGGCGTGCCTCGGGGCAGGTTAAATGTTTATGCTTAATTAATGTTGATGTTGTTGCTTTGTTGCTTGCCCTGCTGCTGCTGTGCATATGTTGCATGCCTCGGTGTGTTTGTTCATGGGGCTAGCCGCTGCGGTTTATTTTAGATTTTTATCGCAGTCGCAGCATAATACTTATGCACTTTATTTTAATTTATGCCACTTATTCGTCCACCGACTATACATATGCATTTATATGCATGTGTGTGTATGTCGTACTAATTAGTGGAGCGAACCCAGACCAGGCTGCTCCCGTTCCCGTTTCCACTCCCTTTCGCTTTCCCTCCCCCGGTTCCTCATACGCTTCGTTTGCACTTTGAAAATGTAATTAGTGAAAGCGGCTGCTGGTGGACCACGCTCTGGTGTAGCAGAGGGATGGGGTAGAGGTGCGGCGGGGGTGAGGGAATATGTCGTTTTGCAGATATGAATACTGTCGCATAATGAACCAAGGTAGATAGAGAAGTTGTGATAGCTCCGCAAGGGTTAATGGGGCTCAGACTTCTGAGCTGGAAAAACAGTTCATTTAATCGAGACGAAAAAGAAACATTACAAAATTATTGCTTAAAGGCGAAGCAAGTCGAGCAATTGCCCCAGCTTGGCATAAAAGTTGCGCCGGCTGAAACATTCACAATTAAAATTCCACAGACATCAAAACTTTTGCGACCCCACGCACCCCAATTATGGACAAATAATAGCAAATTATTCAGCCCCACCCTGCCGACACTCCTCCCCTGCAGCTAACTGCTTTGCATCTCAAGTGCCTGCCTGGCGCTAATTAGAGCTGATTGCTCGACAAATGAAGTCGATGCCCCACACTCCCACACAATAGTCAATAGCTGAGTTCTGCGCTCTGTTTTCCTTTTTCCGCCTGTCACCTGGGCAGCTGTTGGAGAAAATCGATTTTCTTTATCCGGCCACATTCAGCTTGGACGCTGACATAAATACGCGCGGCGTTGTCCCAAAAAGTAAAAGTTACCCTAAAAGTGTAAAGGAAGCTGTGAAAATATGCTTAAAGAGCTACAAATTGCAACAGCGTGAACAAGTGGCAAATGGTAAAAGAAAAGCGGAGGCAAGCCAGAACGGAGCACAGCGATAACAGCTAGGAGTTATGCATGGCAAGATGCTGATAAAGTAAAATGCAAAAGTGGCAACTAAAGAGGTTGGCTTCAAAAGAAACCGAATAGCTGAGCAGTCCGAGATAGCCTAGAGTCTTTCGAGAACTTTAAGAATCAATTATCTCATATATTTCAGACTATGCACACACTCAAAAGAACTAAGAAATGATCTTCTGATCTATGAAGCAAATCTTATATCAGTTTTCCGTAATATTTGTATTGTTGCTCAATATATGTAGAAGAATATATGTAAGTCCTATATCCTCTATCTTTATAGACGGATAAGGAGTAAGAGGATCAGGAACACAACTTGTTTAAATCGAATGTTTTTCGAGGTTTTTTTTATAGCTCTAGGGAATCAAATGTTTATTTTTAAGATATTTAAGACCAATCTTACATCAAAGCTTTGTGAATATTTGCACATATATTTTTGCTTCTTTAACTGTTTAAAACTCTCTTCCCATTGTTATGCAACGAATTTGCCAAAAAGAAGGCAAAAAAGAAAAGCGATTTGAATTCATGGCACGACATCTATTTAATTTCAATTACAACCCTAAAATACCATAGCAGACGCATAAGCCAAAACTTTGTATGTGCCAAACTGAGCAAAAAAAAAAAAAGAGGAAAAATGGAATAAAAATGGCAATTTTTGCGCCCCAAATACGCCAGGCCCATGTATCTAACCCATTGCGGCATGCCCAGCACCGATCCGAACCCCTTCTTCAGCCCTAATTTATGCAAACCAAAAAGCTGAGCGGGATTTAAATGTATGTCTGAATGTGTGTCTCGCCTAGTGGATATCATTTTATGTTTTCTTAACATATTTTTTCTCTATGCTAATGCAACGGACTCCATTCGGCCGCCCACTATGCGTCACTTCGTCGTCGTCGTCGTAGTCGGACAACAGCCTGGGGATTTCGCAGGCCATAAATCCGAAATTGTCTTTTGACACATGAATATGTTGTGCATTAAACGCAGACGGAAGACTAGGCCACAGACAGAGCCAGAGTCCGACTCCCACTTTGAGGCAGACGACAGACATTTTTATTATTATCAATGTATGTACGAGTTTTTGTCTGGGGCTAGCTGTCTCTGCCCGCGGCTGATGATGACATTGGTGGCCACTGAGCTGAAGCTGATGCTGATTTAGGGCCGTTTGGGGTGTCTGTGTTGGCTTTCGGCAAGGGTTGCGTCTTTGACTATCAAATGATTACCCCATCTACGCCTCTATGCTGTGTGTCTCTGCCATCAGAAACTTTTTATGTGCTACCAATTTGTATCCGGCCGGGACCAGAGCAAGGCACATGCTAATGTCTTTAGCAAGGGGCATCATAACTCAAGCGAATTCAATTTGTTCACATTTGATTCGGGCAGCGTTTGTGTAAGTCGTGCCCAGACGAGTTGGCTAACCCAAAAGTCAAGAGCTATTGCAGCGGCCAGATTCATGATGGAAAGATGTGCTTGCAACTGATTAAATCGCACTGCCAAAGTCAGCTCGCAGCCAGGTAACTCGCAGGCCATAGAAGGTCAACAACAAGAAGACAAGCCAACTGCAACTGCAGACGAGACAGGGCGAGGCAAGGTAATTTTTATGCCCAAATGGTCATGATTCGCAAGCTCGTTTGGGTTCCATGCTCGAATGCTCGACTGGTCGACTGGTCGGATGGAGGTTGGCAAGACGTTTCTCTGCGTGGCGCGTCGTCTGGCCAAACAACTTCACTTCAGCTCGCTGCAGAGGAGCGTCAGAGTGAAAGACAAACAAGCTAAAGGACATGTGAAGTGCACGATGCTCTCTGGCAACTTCATCCGCAGCCAGACTCAACGTGCAACGCGCAACGCGCAACGTGCAACGTGCAACGTCAACGGTAGCTGCCAAGTATTTCTATTTGTATTTCATCGCCCTGGCCGAGCAGCTGCAATTTATTTGCCTCGGTCTGTGCCTGCTGCTCTTGGCGCTCCTTTGGCTCTGGCCACTCTGCTGACGTTTTTGCCTCCAGGCAGACGCAATCAACTGCCCCTGCGCCCTGCACCAGAACCCTTTGCCCGTCTTGCAGTTTATGTTTTTCTCTTTTATATTATCACCTTAACGCTGCGACGACTTCAGTTCCAACTTGGCTTGGCTTGGCCTGGCCTGGCCATAAATTCAAGTTCATTGGGGCCGTGCGGCCAGCGGGTGTTGCATAAATTATGATCTTGTAGATTTCTATGACAAACCATAAAAAACACATTACGTTTATGGTGATGTTGCCATGGACGGTTTGTAGTTGCGTTTTCAATTTAAAATGTAAATACAAGCGAACCGAGCCCCCTGCACAACTCTCCTTTGGCCCATTGGGTGTAAATGTGTGTGTGTGTGTGTGTGTATGGCTGATTCTGCAACAGCTTACTCCATTTCTAATTAGCGCATTTATAAGTACCATTTAGGTCAAGGCACTCAAGCAGCAAGATATATACGTCATTAATCTAGCCGATTCCTTGGCCAGGCCAAGCCCCCCATCGGAAAGCCCGCCTATCCGCTAGAAGTGCAAATTATTGGGCTATAAAAATCAAAGCAAAATAAAAAGAATAAAACGAGTCGAACATTTAATGTGATTATCTGGAAAAGTTAATGTGATTATTAGCCCAGGCCCACGCTGGCTCGCGTGAGACAACAGACAGACCCGCAACACCTGCCACTAGGACCCACCTGCTCAGCGCCAACCCACATCCACAATCATCCATCAGGTAGCGGCCGACTGTGATTCGGGTCGAGTCAGAGTCGAAGCTGGCCATTAACTTGCCACTGGTGTAAAGTTTGCTTTCAATTTCGGGCAACGCTTTTGCGTGATGTAATGAAATTTTTATCACCTCGGGCTGGGAGGCTATCCCAGACATAGCTGCAGGGACCGAACTGTGTCTAGGCGCTGCCATAAAATTTATGGACAGCTATAAAGCGTGGTCGGGGGTGGCTGCAGCAGGTGCAGCTGAGGTGGTCAGCCGGTGAGTGGCCCAGTTAGTTGAGCTTGTTGCGGTTTCGGCTGCTTGGGTCAGCTTGTAATGTGCCCTGTGGTTTGATTTGCATGCGCCTTTGTGGCCAAGCAGCCCGAGCAGCCTGGGTGGCCCGGCGCAGAGATCACAGGGCCTGCGGCACAGAGTCTACCGCCAAAAGACATTCTGTGGCGAAGCCCGCAAACTTGTCGATGGATATGCGTGTGTGTATGTGTGTGTGTGTGTTTGTGCTTAAGTAAACAATAACTTCCTCTGCCGAATTTTTGGGCCAAGAGGTGGAATTTATGAACACGTTTGA